TGCTGGTGGTTTCCCATTCCAAGGGATGATGGGCAGCTGCCATAGGTCCTTGATGCAGCTGCTCTTCTCCTCCAAATCCCACAGCAGCAACTTCCCAAGCTTTGCACGGCAGCTGGTTGGGCCGAACGTAACTTTGGCCTTGCTTTTCTGCAGCCGGCGCACAGAGAGGAGGTTAGCGGATAAACCTTCAACCAACAGGACATTCCCAAATCCCACAAGCCCCCCATTGGCTCCCATGACCTTTGCATTCCCAACACCAATTACAGGGAGCAAAGCCCCTAAAGCGGCAGCCACAAACTTGATCTTCCTAGGGGGTTTTAGCTCGTCAAGCAGGTCTGCCCGTGGGGTCATGTGACTTGTGCAACCTGAGTCTATCACCCAGTGTGTGAGGGGGTGCATCACAACCTTCCCAACAGAACCCATATCACCCGCACTCCCTTGCACATCCTCAACCATGAGGAACATCCCAGGGTCGGCTTTACCTTGTGCACCATCACCTTGTGGACCTGAACCTTGCTCAGCGCCACCTCTTGCACGTTCACCACTTGGCGGCTTCATGCCTCGGGGCGCCCATCCCTCAGGCTGGCTGAAACACTTGAGCCACGGGTGTCCAGCCTTCTTGCAGTACCAGCATGCACCCTCCATTTGGGTGCTCATCCTGCCACCAGAGCTCCCATGCCCCTCATTGTAGTCACCTCGGCCTCTCCCTCTGTCAAAGCCTCTCCCACGGCCTCGGCCTCTCCCACCCCCTCTTCCTCTGCTGCCTCCTGTAGCTCCATACCCCTCAGCAGGTTTGTTGGCAGCACCAACTCCCGTGTGGTGCCTGCGGAAGTCCTTCTGCAGGATCTGCTGCCGTAGCCACTCAGGCGTCCACTTGTCCTGCTGAACGTTGAGGGTGGGGATGAGGTTGTCCCACAAGTTGTCGAGCACCGAGATGATCTTGGTGCATTGCTGCATCTGCGACACCTCGCTGCGCGCCGCTGCCATCCTCGCATATGTGTCCTTGATCTTGTCAAGGACCGGCGTCATATCATCTCCCGATCGCATGGAAAGGGCAGCCAGCTCCTTCTCCAATACGATCACCATCGGCAGCGTGTTGGGCTGAACCACGTCATGTAGCAGCTTCCACGCTTTTGGTCCCAAGTCATCGAGCTCCACCAAATCCTTGATGTGCTGGAACATGTCGTTGTTGACCGATTGTAGAATCAAGTCGTACAGCACCGCGCTTTTCTCAATCCATCGATCGCTATCATCGCCTTCCTCTAGCATCTTCTCTTCTCTCATTGCCAGTTTCAACAGCTTATAGTGCTTGAAGGCACTCCGCATCCGCCCGCTCCATTCCTCGTAGTTGGAGCCATCCAATGCCTCAATCTTAGATGGTGGCGGCTCACTCCTCTTCTCAGCTGCTTCTCCACTCCCTTGACTCATCTCCTCTGCTCCCAATCACAAGTTTCAGCTCCCCCCTTTGCTGGTCACAACATTGTTTCGGAAGATCTTCACAAATGACGGCGCCAAGGAAATTTCAGCAGAGTTTCCCTTTAGCAGAAGTCACATCCAACCTCCACAACTCCACTAAGGCACACCCACAGGCCATGGTGGGTCTACGAGGGTCTTCACACTTCAGTAGACTCCCTACAAGGTCCTTAATCAGCTCTGATACCACTTGTTAGAGACTAAGGACGGAGTCTATGAAGATTATGGGCCTAAATTTCTCAAAATCGTTGGTCTCAATATCTGGACAGAAACGTCGAGTTCACAAGAAACGTCGTCAACGACAAGTGCAATGTCAAAACTTCACCAAACTCAGATATGTTGTAGCGCTAGTCCATGGCTACAAATCCCAATTTGAATCGTACGTTAAGATGAAGTATTTTTTGAGTTATGAATTTCGGCGCACTTGGGGGTAAGCTGTCATAGAATTTTAACTCGATCACAAGAGTTCTCACAATTACCACACTAGAGAGTTAGAGTAGCAATAACCAGGTGGGAGGGGATGAGGAGGACGAGAGGGAAGGTTCCAAGAGAATCCCCAACCAAGGAAACCCCATGCCACACAATTCCCCTCCTCATAGGCAACCCCACTTTCACTTTTGTCACTTTCCATACCCATGCCATCCACCTTGCCCAACTTGGCCACTCTTGCCAACCTGGTTTGGCTCCTCCCAACCACTTGGCAGCATCTACAGTGATGTTGACGAATTTCCCAACCCCCAAAAGTCGGTACCCCATATGGAGTCAACCCCACAACTTCCCATAGTCACCACAATCAAATATCAAAAGCATACGAACTTCAAACGTTCGTAACTTTCTTGTTCGTGCTCCGATTGAAGCGATCCTTCGCTCGTCGGAAAGCACTTGAACAGATGAGCCACTTCAGATATCTGCTCAAGCCAAATAGCATTCACACACACTCACAAAATCCAAACCGCACAAAACACAAATTCTTGCAAACGCTCACACCACGCATGCAATGTACGAACATATGATGGGAGGCAGACAGACGTGAATGCGAATGATAGCATCACATAACAGCTACCCCAATGCAGCCTACACAGATATGACATGCATATAATTTGACCGGCTTGTGCTTGGGGGAGGGAGGACGGGCATCGCGATTCTCGCGAGAAGGGTGGGGCCGTTTTTTATTAGGAGGGGGAAAGGTGGGAATAGGCAGGTGCTCTGGAAGACCGTCGGCAGCCCATAACTCCACATCGTCCTCCGCACCAGTCGCGGATTCGTCCAACGAGCAATCACCCAGGTTTCCCCAGCGTGGCGACGGTGCGGAGGAAGACGATGCGCCACCGGTGCGGTCGAGCTCGGACAGGTAAGCGTCAAACGCCGAGTAGCCAGGAGGGAGAAGCTGCAGAACCCCCTGACGTGGAGCACCAAATACAGGCGGCTCAGGAGGGGACAGAGGAGCAGGAGGAACCGGAGGCGCCGGGGGAGTGGGAGGGTTGGGAGGCGTTGGAGGAGTGGGAGGAATGGGAGGGACGACTGGGTGTGTTGGAGGGACGGGCGCTGGGCGCGTCTGCCATTGAGAGTAGTCATGAGTGTCTCTAGCAGGAGGCTGGCGGCGGAACAAGAAATGCGTGCCAGGAAGGCTCGCCATGGCCATGGCAGGCCAAACTAATGAAACAAACTGAAATGAAAGTTGAGAATAAGGGCCGTATAAAGCCCTCGCGTGAGACCCCTCCAGTTTCGCGGTCCAGCCTCCCCTGCGGGGAAAGCTGACATAGTCAAGATTACCAGTAGAGGAGCTGAGCTGGGCAGCTCGTTGCCTCGGTGGCAAGGAATCTTGCTCTGGATGGGCACATTGTGGCTGAACCACGACGTGCCCTGGACCGCATGCAACCTTGATTGGGCAGCCATGATGCGAAGTGCGTGTGCGCTGGCATGGGCCAAGTTCACGTTCGATGAACCTGGCCTGGCCAACAAGGCGTGGAAGGCGTGAAGCCACGCCTTGTTGGCCTTTTCACGCGCAAACCATGCACGGTTTCGAACGTTCTCAACTCAAGTGAATCCGCCTTTGAGTATGTTTCGATTTGGTATATTAAAAAACAAATTCCATTTTTGACATAACATAAACGCCGGCGCTTAAAAATTTACTTCATTATAAGCCCACCCCCCTAAAAAAATATGTTTTATTATACCCCTCCATGGGGGTATCCCATTGCTTGCAAGTTAAAGCCCTATTCTGCGGTTCTCTTTCTGCTTGCTATCTTGACATAATGGTGTACCAATAATTGTACCCTCTACCCTCCAATATTGCTAGGCTCCAATAATTGTAACTGTACAATAATTGTGACAACTATTGTAGACCTTGGAAGCTTATAACGAGGACTACACCAAAATCGAACAGCACACTGGTATACAATATTCGTTATACTGATTTCAAACAACATTCCTTTGGTAAGCAAACCCCACCACTTCACAATTCACCCCTCCTCACCAATGCACAGTTTGTATCCAAAGTGACTTCTGTCCCTCTTGCTTTCTCCATGTGAAGGTTCAGAAATCTGGGCATTGGACATGAGCTATCTGTCATGTCACACAGCAGCTGCAGCACCAGCTGCAGCAATATGAATTTTTTTGAAAGTGTGTAACACTTTCTAAAAATGTGTATTTTGAAAGCGAAGTCGCTTGTAATGCAGCAATGGCAACAGCGAAATGCTAGACGCTCTTTGCCAGCTATATAGCATGGGGTGGAGGCCATTTGGCCTCCACCCGCGTCTTCGTTTGAAATTTCAAATGTCTTATTTCATTCTCATCCGACGACTTCCCGTTTGTCAGAGGTCCACTGGTGATCCGCGATTGATCCTAGGGAAGGGTTACAGGCATGTTGGCCTGGGGGGTTATGGGCGCACTGACCCGCTACTTAACAAGCCCTTTTATCCCAATGGTCTAGTGGTTGGGATTCTGACATGGTATCAGAGCGAAGGTCTCGGGTTCGAATCCTAGTGTGTGCACTTCGGGCATCCAAGTGCGGGAGGGTGTCAGAGGTCCACTGGTGATCCCCGATTGATCCTAGGGAAGGGTTACAGGCATGTTGGCCTGGGTGGTTATGGGCGCACTGACCCGCTACTTAACAAGCCATTTTATCCCAATGGTCTAGTGGTTGGGATTCTAACACCGTTCTCCTCAGTCGCTCACTTCTCTCTTAAAATTGTAGGCATTAACTAGATTGACATAGCACAACACACGTTTCAGAAATGTCTTGCGGGTACACCCGTCCGCACAATAGGCACGCACGTCGAGGCTAATAAGGCGACAGCGCCACTGGCGCACGTGGCGACGAAATCGACACAGGCACGCGTGGCGACGAAATTGTCACAGGCGCTCGTGGCGACGAAATCGCCACAGGCGCGCGTGGCGACGAAACCGCCACACGCGCCCGTGGCGACGAAATCGCCACAGGCGCGCGTGGTGAAATCGCCAGTGGCGCACGTGGAGTCAAAATCGCCAGCAGCGCAAGTGGCGCCAGTGACGCTCATGGCGCCGAAATGGTCAACATCGCCACTGCCGCATGTGGCTACGAAATCGCCAGTGGTGTGCAAGAACCCAGGGGCGCGTCTAGCGGAAGTCGGTACCAGCAGGCATGATGGCGAAATCTCCAGAAGGCAAGATTTCAGTGGCGCGCCAGAGACAAACTAGCGGCATATGCGCTTCTTGTCAGGGGTCCACTGGTGATCCCCGATTAATCCTAGGGAAGGGTTACAGGCACGTTGGCCTGAGGGGTTATGGGCGCACTGACCCGCTACTTAATAAGTCCTTTTATCCCAGTGGTCTAGTGACTGGGATTGTGACACGGTATCAGAGCAAAGGTCTCGGGTTCGAATCCCGGTGTATGCACTTCGGGCATCCCAGTTCGGTGGGGTGTCAGAGGTCCACTGGTGATCCCCGATTGATCCTAGGGAAGGGTTACAGGCACGTTGGCCTGGGGGGTTATGGGCGCATTGACCCGCTACTTAATAAGCCCTTTTATCCCAGTGGTCTAGTGACTGGGATTCTGACACTTCTGATGTTGAAATTTGCCAATGAATAATTACTAATTTGCATATGTTCCCACCTCTTCTTCGTTCCTATCTTCGATTCTAGTTCGTCTGCGTTTTTCTCTCATGCTATTTCTTATTTTTTATCGCAGTAAATCGGTGCGAGGCAACTACCTTTGGGTCGCCATGAAAGACTACCGGCGAAGAAAGACTGCGGCAAAACATTTGGCACAACCCATGCGCTCCCGTGGGAGATTGGGACCGGGGGCCTCGCGCCAGCCGGAAACGGACCGGTGGGTCCTGTGCGGTGCTGGCCAGCGAGCTCCCCAGGGAGGAGGAGGACCGGTGGGTCCTGTGCGGTGCTGGCCAGCGAGCTCCCCAGGGAGGAGGAGGACCGGTGGGTCCTGTGCGGTGCTGGCCAGCGAGCTCCCCAGGGGGGAGGAGGACCGGTGGGTCCTGTGCGGTGCTAGCCAGCGAGCTCACCAGGGGGGAGGAGGCCTGGTGGGTCCTGTGCGGTGCTGGCCAGCGAGCTCCCCAGGGGGGAGGAGGACCGGTGGGTCCTGTGCGGTGCTGGCCAGCGAGCTCACCAGGGGGGAGGAGGCCCGGTGGGTCCTGTGCGGTGCCGGCCAGCGAGCTCCCCAGGGGGGAGGAGGACCGGTGGGTCCTGTGCGGTGCTGGCCAGCGAGCTCCCCAGGGGGGAGGAGGACCGGTGTGTCCTGTGCGCTGCAGGCCAGCGAGCTCCCCAGGGGGGAGGAGGACCGGTGGGTCCTGTGCGCTGCTGGCCAGCGAGCTCCCCAGGGAGGAGGAGGACCGGTGGGTCCCTTTCTGGCTCGTGAGTTAAGTTATATATTGGTCAAATACCAGGGCTAAAGCCCAAAGTGCAAGGTTTAGATGCGATCACATTTGAGTTGGCTGGTTGAACAAAATTTTGGTGAGTTTGAAATGGTGCACAACTATAGCAAATGAGTACGAATACCAAAGGCTTAAACCTTGACAGATTTACCGTATCCGGATACAAGTTGCATGCACGCTTCGTAATGTGAGCACGGTTGTGACCGCAGCAAGGGTTGGGCTCCTACAAGCATCACATCCATCATTACTCAGAATACTAAGGCCAGCTGCCCGTGTCCTCCCATACTTGCTTGCGAGTTCGTGTCCGAAGCTCACGTGTGAGCCAAGCCAACGCTTATAAGTTGTTGGGAACAATAAGTCTTAAACGCCTCTGTCGTGTCGAAACTCAGGACACAAGCGAAGCAGCTCAAATCGAAGCATCGCGAGTCAACCATCGGAAGTTAGGGTAACCGCTGGAGGTTACGAGAAGGTCAAAGGTCAGCGACCTTTGACTTGACAAATGCAGCGCGACAGCTAGGACATACAGCTGACTCGACATTGAGCAGTTGCCCGAGTCGCACTGTATCGAATCGCAACAGTAAAACAGTTCAATTACATCCATTCGTATTCCTTGTACTCTTATATAAACCTTTGTATTTGCTTGTTTTAATCAACTTACTTTGCCCTCACACACTAGCGCAAGGTGGTTCAAGGACTTTTATTCAACGCTTCCGCTATTACATTATCCTACTCAGACTTTAACTCTACAAAGATCCCAAGGCACCTCAGCCCAACATGGTATGAGAGCAAGTTAGAGTTTAAAGTTATTTTTCTTTTAACACTCAATACAAGAAGACATGTCTGCTAGAAAGGAGAGGAGCTCCTCCAACGGCTCTCCAGGCACTACTCCTACTCCACCTCCTGTCTCTGGCCTACAGACAGAGGAAGGGACAACTACGAGACCAGCAGCTGGGTCTACGGAAACACCCGCGGGCTTCGATCCAAGTATGATGGAGAAGTTCTTCTCCTTCATGTCCTTCTACGAGCAACATCAGCAAGGAGTACCTGCGCAGTCAAACAATAGCAACAACAACAACGTGACAGCCATGAGTCTCGACGGCTCATCCTACGCACGCGGGAATCAACAACAACAACAACAACCTACCTTCGCTCCGTACGAGCCCCAGCGCGGCTCCGTCAGCTTCATGCCGCAACCGCAATCTGCACCGGGACAAGAAAGAGCACTGGACGCATTACAAGTTCAATCGCAATTCGCGCATGTCCTAAAACTTCAAACGACAAAGCCTTTCGACGGAAAATATTTCTTCACCTGGTCGTTCGAGTTCGAGCTGATGATGGAAGGAGCACAGATTCTTGGCTTCTTCGACGGGTCCCTGACATATCTAACAAACGGCACGCAGTATGAGAAGCAGCAGTACACCTATCAATCAATGATGGCGTACACAATACTATTGAGGAACATCACCCCGACCCAGCAGCAGAACATCAGAACTTACCGAGGCTACAGCAACTCCGCGGAGCTCGCATACAACCACTTGAAGAACCTGTATCAAGCAACAGACAGTGTAAATCAAAGCCGGTTAATGGCACAGCTGACAACAATCGAAATGAAACCAGGCGAGAAAGGCATGGCATATATCAGTCGCTGCCGCGAACTGCGCGACAAGCTTCTTCGATGCGGAGGATCAATTTCAGAAGACGCCTTCGTCACGGTAGTCATCGGCGGTCTTGGCCCCTACAGGCGCTCCACTCGCGCCATATTACGAGCACACGGGAGAATCTCCGAAGCAGCACTCAGCGCCGAAATACATGCCGAGCAGCAGGACATGGACCTGCAAGAAGAACGACACAAGAAGAAAACGTTAGTACCGGAGTTCGCATTCCACACTCAACGACGCTACAACAACAACAACAACAACCGGCAACAGCAACAAGTAAAGACAGTACCTCCGTTGTGCCACATCTGCAAGACTTCGGGTCATCCTCGTACGCACTGTCCGTCTCGTCAGCAATCGACAACACCACAGCGACAACTTCGGCCTTCAAGCTCCCAAGTCGCCTCAGCGCAAGAAAATCCGACAACCTCAATCCAAGCTTCAACGACTACAATAGGACAACCTGCACAAGGAGCAAGAAACATCATCAATTGCATGGTGAAGATAACAGACTCCTGCACAACCGAGTCACCACCTCACTACTCACCGGAAGAACAACTCGACAACAGCATGCCTCGCCGCGAGTCACTCCAGCCGAATCCGACGTACGCTGCCATTGCTCAAAGCGAACCGTCCGGACAAGACACCTGGTTCTTGGACAGTTGCTGCGGACAACATATGTGCTCCTCAGGACGCTTTGTTCAACGCGAACATCAACTTCAACGAGAGGTAGTCATCACGGTCGCCAACAATCAGAACCTGCGCACACGACGACAAGGAGTAGTACAACTTCAGTCACGAGAGACAAACGTTATATTGCACATGTCAAAGGTGCTAATCGCGGAGGGACTCGGCTACAACTTACTGAGCGTCAGCCAGTTGATGTCGAAAGGCATCCACTTGGAAGGCGATAGTACCACCCAGGAGTTCAAGTTGTACCACGGGAAGGGCGGTCTCTACATCGGAAAGGCGGTGTTGAAGAACAACGTCTTCGTCCTCGACTTCGTCCCAGACCTGAGCACTGCAGACAGCGATGCCATCGTCAACTTCGCCGATTGGACACATCCCCCGGATCTCGATCCCGACTTCAGCCCGGGAGGCTTCTGGTATTCGCATACCATCCCTGAAGCAGAACGAACACGTGCGTTAGCAACAATTCAACAATCGGCAGCAGCAGAGACAACATCGGCAGCAGCAGACATAACATCGGCAGCAGCAGAAACAACATCGGCAGTAGCAGAAACATCATCGGCAGCAGCAAGACCAACGACACCAGTCCTCGTCGACGAAGCACCACCAACACCCGCACAGCAGCTGAACCCGACTCAACGAGAAGTCCACAGAAGCGCAGACTTCGTCGCCAGCTTCTACTCCAACTCCAACGCGTATCAACGCTCACCCGGACATCGCGCTCCTGAAGACATCTGGCATGCACGCACAGGACATCCGAGCAACACAGTATTAAACAATACAATACGAGCAGGAGTCCTAGACAAGGATTCGCCACTACTACCCGACGGCAGAGAACTTCAACGGGCACAAGGAACTTGCCTCATCTGCCCCGAAGCCGACTTACCCCATCGACCGTTTGCTTCTCACCACAACCCGAGCGCACCTGCATACGCACCACTCGAGAAAGTGTACAGCGATGTCCTCTTCAATCGAGAACCAGGTCAATTTACCTACAACTACACGATAACCTTCATCAATGCTGCCACTCGATACGTCTGGCACCTTAACCTACCCAGCCGCGACATGGCACTCGCAGCATTCGCCGCTTGGCTACCAGTAGCAGAGAGAGAGTCGGGAACACAGCTGAAAAGCTTCCAGTCAGACGGAGGAGGAGAATACACCTCTCAGTGCTTCAAGCAATACCTGGCGGAAAGAGGAATCAAGCAACTCCTCTCCCTTCCCTACGCCCATCAGCAGCAAGGTGTCGCAGAAAGAATGAACAGGACCTTACAGAACAGCATGCGCAAATTGCTACGTGGCATGCGGCTACCCAACCACCAGTGGCCTGCAGCAATGGACCATGCTGTCATGCTGCACAACTTGTTGTCGTCGTCCTCACTCTCGAACAACGCATCACCACATCTGCTGTGGACAGGGAAGCAGGGCAGCACAAAAATGTTACGAGTTTTCGGGTGCATGGTACAGTACCGACCCCCAGAAGCACGAGCGAGACGATTCTCACAACGGGCACAGTGGGGACTACACCTCGGCATCGAAAATAATTACAACGCATGGAAAATCTTCGACGTCCACTCAAAGGAAACAGTAGCAGCACGTGATGTGATCTTCTACGAGCAACTCACACTTCAGACGTACCTCGCCAACTTGCACGAAAATCAGGACCCCACAGGTGGCTTTCGTGGTGACGGAGCCTTCGCCTCAGCAGCGGACGAAGCAGACTGGGACGAACAGAACGTCGACAACGCATCGGAAGAAGCCGGACCTCTACCGTTCTGCTCCGTCGACGTCCCCATGGACGAAGAAAATCCGCGCGACAGTGTCAACGCCGAAGTTTTCTACCACTTCGCCGACAACGGTTACGTAACACCTTCGACAGTCAACACAAACAAAGCAGAACGGATAGGGCCAAATTTCATACCCGACCCAGAAGCGGGAGACGAAGCAGCTTATCCCGAGGATCCAACACTCCCCCGCTACTCACATGCGGAGATAACTGCAGCAACGGGAGCTAGACTACGGGCTAGGCACGTGTGCTCGTGTGATCTCTGCGTTCTCTGTTCCTTAGTCGTTTTCCTTGTGCGCACACTACTTGCTAGTTCACGGGGAAAATTGGCAAGAGTTTCACTAGGAAAAGGTTCAGAACAATGATTACAATGAAGTTGGCACAGCTAGACTACATCAGAGCAAGCATTCAGGTCGGCCAATTGCCAGCGCAGCTTGGTCGACCGCGTTCCAGCACGGCAAGGTCGACGGCGTGCCAGCGTTGCTCACGCAGGACAGCAGTGCACCCGCTTCGCAGGTGTGCGTAGCTGATTGGCGTGCAGAGTCCCGTCACCTGCACAGCTCACACTCCACGTCATCCTCGAGCCGACGACTGCCTCTGGTCCGCCACGACGACCTCGGGATACCACCACCGAGGTCGTGCTCGCCAACTTCGCCTGGGCGACCGTCGCACTCCTTCGCAGCACTTCGTCACCCAGGTAACCTGGTTGACCGGGCAACCGCGTCGACCAGCATCTCCCGTACGTGCCCGTCGACCTCCAAAGTCGACGACCACCTCCACGTCGACCTCCTCCAGGTCGACGTCCCCTATGGTCGACAGCTCCACGTCGACCAGCACAGTCGTCGGCCGACCACCCAC